GAATAGCTAGTGTTTATATTTCTCAAAAGATCTGGCTTTCCAGTCCCTAAAAATAGAAAATGTAAGACTTGCAAGGAAAACTGCAGAGTCTTCAACTCATACATTTCAGAAAATTTGGTTTTGTTTTGTTTTTTACTCTCCCAACTGTATAAATATTTTTTTAAAAAACTCTTTCCTAAGTAATCCCTATACTAAATCACAATTTTAAATCTTCCTCCAAAACTCTATTTTTACTTCTTCTTTCTCTACACTCTCCTACATCTGTATCTTTCATTTAATTTATTAAAAATCAAACAAACTAGGAAATGTGTGGATTCCTAGAATTGGGTTTCATCATTGCCGGTTTGACACCAATTAGGCTTTCTTAAAATACATCCAGGAGAGAGCATCCTGGTACCAGTTACTTCCACAAGACATTCTATTTTTCATACTTCTCAGTAGCAATATAACATAATTATATCCTTATAACAACATCAGAATGGTGTAGTGGGACCCAGACAGCTCTGAGTCAGAATCAGAAAACCTGGGTAAATCTGTTCCTTGTGAAGTCACTCAGACACATGCCTTCATTTACTACAAGGAGATAAGCAAGCCTTGAAGATCATCTATTGTTGCTATGAGAATACTTCGTAATTGTTTACATTCTGGAGTGTTATAGTCTATGCTATACAATATGCTAGTCACTGGGCAGATGGAGTTATTGAGCTCTTGAAATGAGAGTAGTCTGAAATGAGGTGTACTATAAATGTAAATTAGGCAAAGTAAGGAAAAGGAAAATGTAAATTGCTCATTGATAATTTCATATTGATGGCATATTGGAATAGTAATGTTTTTTATAAATTGGGTTAAGTAAAATATATTATTAAAATTAATTTCACATCTATTTTTAAACATTTTAATGTAACACTAAATTATGAATGTTACTTGAATGATATTTCTATTGAACAACTCTACTCTAAAATATCCAAAATATTTTGTTTTCTTCTAATCTATGTTTTGATTTTTTTTTTCATTAATCCTCGCATGAGGATATTTTTCCATAGATTTTTAGGAAAAGTGGGAGAGAGAGAGGGAAAGACAGAAGTCCCAGGCCAGGGAGGAGCCTGCAACCAAGGTACATGCACTTGAGGGGAATCGAACCGGGGACCCTTTAGTCTGCAGTCCAATGCTCTATCCACTGAGCCAAATCAGCTAGGGCTATGTTTTGATTTTTAAAATTATGTTCAGTGTTTTGGGGCAATAGTTCTGTTTCTACAGATGCTTCCTATCTATACTTCTAATTGAGATGATTACTAACATTATTTGCAAACATCTGCTTGAAAAATACATTCTATTGGTAGTGGAAATATACACCAAATATACACTTCCATCAGATATAACTGAGAAAGACATGTTCATTACCTGCCACATGACCGTGTAATGCAGAAGAGGTGGTGAGGCAGCAGTCACACCAAAATATATGGACGTGACTGTCCTCTCTCTCCTACTGAATCATGTATAGCTCTCTCCTACACCATTCCCATCTGCAAACGGGCATGCTGCATGTAACACCTTCAACCTCAAAATACCATCTTAATCCGCTCCTGGGGCCACCCCATTTCTCTGGCATTTTTTATAATAAATATATTTAAGAGTCACTTTCCCCCATCCCGTTCTCTCTTGAACTACATCTATCGATATTGAGGCCTACAAAAACAATGGAGGACTTCTACATTGCTAAATTTAATGTCTTTCTTGACCAATCAGTAGCATTTTCCATAATTGGCTATTCCTCCTTCTAAAAGCAATCATTTATTTGGCTTCTGAGAGACCCCTCTCTCATGGTCCTCTTCCTACCTTGTTGACTGCTGCTTCTCATTCTGCTTTGCTGGGTCTGCCTCCAGCCCTGACTCATCACACCTCCTCTATTCTCCAGTGGTAACACCTCTGAACACATCCAGTCCTTTGCCTTGAAAGCTGCCTGTTTGCTGATTATTTCTCCAGTCTGAGATCTTCCTTTAGCTTGGACGCATGTGTCCAGCTGCCAACTTAACCACCACTTTAGTATTTAATTGACACCTCAAATTTCATATGTCCAAAAGCAAATTCTTGACCACTGCCCCAACCCCATCTAAATTGCTCCTCCCACTCACTGTCTTCCCTCTGCAAAAAATGGCTATTTCATTTTTCCAGTTTCTCAAATAAAGCCTAAAGATCATCCTTTAGTCCTCTTTCTTTCACACTGAACATCATGGTTGTTGGAGAATTCTGCCAAATCTGGCAGGGAAAGGGGAACTACGTTCACAATCTCACAGGTTTCATCTTTAGTATCTACTTTAAACCACCTCATCTTATATTTTTAACCTTTATTGTTGAAAGTGTTACATAGGTCCTCCTTTTTACCCCATTAACCTCTTCCAGCCCGTTCCCATACCCAGGCCCTCATCACCCCATTGTGTGTGTTTATGGGTTATGCATATATGCATAGACATTCACTGGTTGATCTCTTCCCTCCCCTGCCTTCCCTCTGAGGTTCAATAGACTGTTCATGCTTCTATGACTCTGGGTCTATTTTTTTATCATTTGTTTATTTGATTCATTATATTCCACATATGAGTGAGGTTATATACTTTTCCTCTGACTTGCTTATTTCGTTCAGCATAATACTCTCCAGGTCCATCCATGCTGTTGCAAACAGTAATAGTTCTCTCTTTTTTATTGCTGCATAGCATTCCATTGTGTAAATGTACCATAGGTTTTTTATCCACTCATCTACTAATGGGCACTTAGGCTCTTTCCAAGTCTTAGCTATTGTAAATTGCACTGCTATGGACATAGGGGTGCATATATTCTTTCTGATGAGTGTTCCAGGTTTCTTAAGATACATTCCTAGAAGTGGGATGACTGGGTCAAATGGGAGTTCCAATTTTAAATTTTTTGAGTTGATTCCATACTGTTCTCTGCAGTGTAAACCCCCTTATCTTTTGCCTGGACTACTGTACTTTACTGGGTCTCCCAGCTTCTACCTTTTCTCTACTTCAATGTATTCTTTATAACATAGTTGGAGTAACCCTTTTAAAATTCAACTTATTATGTCACTCTTAGGATCAAAACACTTAAATGACTTTCCATCAGATTTAGAATAAAAGAAAAATTCATGACTGTGTCCTGTGAGGTTCTCGAGACATGGAAATGGGCTACTTCTCCAAACTCTCCCCCAGGATCTAGGATTCCTGAATCTGAGATTCATACAGTTGGGGTGTGGGAACCTTTTGAGAAAAATATTACCTTAAAACTGCAGCTGGATTAGCTTCAAAGCAGGCCTGCCTCACTCCTTGCAGCTGCCAGCCTCTAGCCATTCCTTGAAGGGACTACACTGTCCTCATTTGAGCCCTTACCATTTATTCCTCCGGCCTCTAACTTTTTCCCCTAAGATTCCTCATGTTAGACTCCTTACTTCCTTCAAAATGACAGAGGGGAACTCTCTAATTATAGCAGAAGGACACCCATTCTCCATTCCTTCCTAACTTGCCTTTTCTTTCTTCAAGCACATATCATTACTTAATATGTGATACTATAGAACTGGTGGATTCTATTGCTTCACCCGCTAGAATTTATTCCTGATGAAAGAAGGAGCCTTTTAGCTTTGTTCACATCTCCGTTTCCATTGCTAGACCATTGTCTGAGACATAGCAGGCATTCACTGCTGAAGGAAAAAGCCTGCAAGAAACAGTGACTTGGAAGTATTCTTTTTCTCCAAAAGGGCAAGTATAACAATTTTTACTAAGTTAATTCAGGCTCCTCTAAAGAAGGTGACTTTTAAAAATCATATGGTGATAAACTTTTAAGATTACCCTAGAAAAAATTTCAGCAAGGTTAACTGCCATTTTGATTGTGATCAGGAACTTGATTCTTCCATACATCTAAGTCACACACACACACACACACACACACACACACACACACACACACGTGAATAGCTCTATCTACAAAAGACAAATATTTACACTTACTTGGCCACAAATGTTTTGAAACAGTGTAGAAAATGGATGAGGATTAGAGAGAGAAAACATGTGTATCCATTACACAAGAGAATCAGAGGTTTCAAGAGACTGAAAACTTAGAAAGGGGAGTTGGTCTCTATTACTTATACCTCTGATACTATTTTTGATTAACATCTAGGTTTCTGAAATGTGCCATTTTTGTTAACTTATACAGAGAACACCCTACTCCATAATACAACTTAGAGCAACGAGTGGCAATGATGCCTACCTGAAGTGAGTATACTAATGTAAGATCTAGAAGCAGAAATTTGCTGTTGGCTAGAATTAGGCCCTGGCTTTCTGTGAGAAGCCTGCTTTAATTCCATAAATACTTAAATTTCTCCCATCAATCTGCACCATTAGATCAAATTTATTTTAGTCCCACATCAAAAGCTTAGAAGACAACTCTGGCCCATGGGGCTCAGTTGGTTGGGTGTCATCCTGTGCAACTAAAAGTTGTCAGTTCGATTCCCGGTTCTGGCACAAGCCCAGGTTGTCGGCTCAATCCCCAGTAGGGAGCATGCAGGAGGCAGCCAATCAATATTTTGCTCTCACATTGATGTTTCTCTCTCTCTAAACATCAATTTAAAAAAAGTTTAGAAGATAGGATGTACATTTATATAGCATCAACATCTTTAGAATACATTTGTAACATGCTGGAATTGCCACAGCCAATGTTTTCAATGCACACAATCATAAGTCTTATAAGTTAAACTTTGTCATTAACAAAAGAATAGAGAAACTGGGACAGCATCAGAAATATGATGTGAGAGACCCTAAGGAGCTTATTTTGGGCGCAATTCAGTCTCATCATTGACTATGACCACAAGAAGGTTCAAGAAGCATATATGAACACTTAGAAAATCCTTGTGATTACTCTACCTCCTAATTAGGAAGAGCTTACAGATAGAATCTTCCAGAACATCAAACTCCATGATTGTCTGACACTTTCATATGTCCCTCTCCTCTCCTTTCACACCAAGTGTTATTCCACCAAACAATTATAATTCTCACTCTTCATTTATGAGTTATATTTTCATCTCATCCAGAAGCTGAGGAAAAAGAAGACAGGAATCCATAAGTAAATGCTGAATAATAAATCCATTTAATCTCTTGAGACCATCATAAATTCAACTTTTAACATATGCCTTCATAATCCTAAATTCACTGAAGGAGGAAATGAAAGATTGTAGGGAAACTCCTCAAAATTATTTCCATATAAAAACAGTCTAAATTTGTCTCAGGCTCTTTTTCATTGAAATATTTCCACTTTACCTTACCTGACATTTTTAAGGGTTACTGCAGCCTAAAAACATGCTCACTGGCCAGTGACTAATGGACTAACTTCTATTTTTTTAAGTTTTAATTTTACAAATTAAAGGCAAACATTACAATAAGATACCATTTATTCTGCAATGGTCATATGTTTGATTTTTTAAAAAAGATTTTAAAATTGATTTTGGGGGAGAGGAAGAAAGAGAATCATCAATGTGATAATGAGACATAGACTGACTGCCTCCTGTTCTCCCCAAACCAGTGACCGAGTCCCCAACCAAGGCATGTGCCCTGACCAGGAATCAAACCAGCAATGTTTCAGTACATGGGATGACACCCAACCAATTGAGCTACACTGGCCAGAGCTGGTCATATGTTTTGTACTGAGTACTAAGGATATCTCTTATTCCAGCTACCCCCCAAAAAAAAATACTTCTCTCAGAAGTTTAACATCAAATATCTTCATATCTTTGCTACACATAACAGCAATTCTTAGCAAATATCATTAAATATAAACCACTCATATACTTTTTAAATATATAAAATATTAATAATCCATAATCTGCAGAGCTATGACTTCAACAGAATGACCTTAAACACAACCCATCTTCTCTTTGATGGGCTGACTTCCTCCACTAAAACATCCAATTTTCCTTTTTACAAGGTCTCACACTCACAATCAATCACAACTGAGCACCTATAATTGGCCAGGAAACTGAGGACAGGCACTGGTACACAAAAGGCCCTCTATGAAATACAATCTTAGAATCTAGACCTGTTTAATTAAAATAAAATGTCATGAGGTCAGTGATCAAAGTATTTAAAATGAGAAATGTCCTTACTGATTCAGTACTGATGACTTTCAGAAGATGAATCTTTACATTTTCACTATCCTCATCGTTTGGATGCATGGCAAAAAGACATGACTCCAGTAAAACTTAGATGATGGCAAGCTTCTAAAAGAGTAGACAGCACATTTCTACAATGTCAGTGTAGATATCATTTTATATATCATATAAATGCCCAATATTTACATAGTCACAAAAATAAATTATTATAACATGAGGTGGTTTAATTGAAAACACTGGGGGAAAAAGAATAAAAGAGGAAATGAATGCTATTCCAGATCCTAGTTATATTCTGTTTAGAAAAAAAAGTAAATTTAATATGTTTAAGGTTTGGATATCTGAGGGAAAAGTGTTAATAAATAGGTGCTATTCTTTTTACTATGGATATACCATACTATCTATTAATAACATAGATCTTATATATACTCTTCACCCATTGAAATAAAATTTGACATACTTTTATAATAATGGAGCCTTTCCATAATTTTAAGAAGGGGTGGTCACTAAGCGTTTATTCATATTACACATCAAAAAGAAACAAAGGAAACCAAAGTGTTCCCAGGGTCATTTTCAGTCACCTCGTGCATTTCATTTGTGAAAAACTAATAGTTGATGAAAATCGGTGATGATATTTCCTCTGAGAAATCTCAAGATATCCTTTGAATGCAACATTCAAGAAAATTAAAAAAGCATAAGAGCTGATTATGGGATCAGCCAATTTTACATGTAAAAACTGCTTATTTTCAGTATCAGTTTCTATTTTCTTCTCCCAAAGGAGAGTGGACCACCTGAGAGAATTGTGATTAGGGTAGATTTGCAGATGGGGTTGATCTTTGGCCTGTGTTTCAACCCCCTCCTCCCTGCACTTTCTTACTCTGACTCCCATTCCAAACCATCCCGATTAACTTCTGCCAGACTTAACATTCCTAAAATACCAGTGCAGCATAATAGAAATAGCTCTGGAGCCAGAAAGACATTGCTTGGAATCCTGTCTCCAGCACTTACTCTATCTGTGGTTTTAAATAAATCATCTAACATTTCTGAACATCAGACTCCTTTATGAAAAGGAAGATAATATGTAAAATGAAGATCATTTTACTGCACAGTTTTCAAAATTGCAGATATGTATGTAAATTATCTTGTATGTATTAAACATCACTCTGTGTTGGCAGGTGGTGATGAAGAAGATAATAATGATGACAGTGAAGGAGGAGGAGGAGAACAGGGGAACAAAGACTCCATCTCTTCAGAAATCTGCAATTGCCCCACTGTAGAGAGGGCAAAGCTACTCTGCATTTTTAGATGCTCCACAACTCTGTCCACTCTGCCATCTATTGAGCACGAAGTCTGCTACTCACAAAGGTGTACTTTTTCATGCTCCAGTGAGGTGGATGATCCACCCCTTCCCTGCTTTATATTAATTCATGCCTCAAACCCATTGCTCCAAGTACTTTTACAAAACAAAAGAGTATTTTTCTTTTCAGTAATTACCCAAGTCCCACTAACTTCTCAAGACTCAGCACAGAAAGCTGGACTTTTCGTTAAGGTTTCTCTAAAATCTGCTGTAGAGGGAATTTTGGAAGGTTATGGCATCCTGGCAGACTTCAATTGGCCTTGTAATACCAGCAAAAGAGATAGGAAACTTCTCCAACTAGAAGTGGCCTGAGATCATTTTCAACTTTAAAGAATTATTATCATCACATTTTTGGCTCTAATAATTAGATAAAACCCTCATAAATGTCAAGGTCACACCCATCATGAGGCACCAAGGAACTCTGTTCCAGTGACCAAGCAGTTACTGAATCCAATGAAAACAAAGGAAGAATGGAAAATAGAGACCATTCCATGATCTATTATTTCACAAGAAAATTATTTGTTGACATTTTGAAAAGGAAAATAATTTACATAAAGCATTTTAGACATCATTCAATAGATTCACAGATATTTTAAATCATATTTCAAAATCACTAAACTCATACACATATTAACATAACTAGCCTTTAATCAAATGCTTTTGTAAAAGTATGGATAAAAGTCAGAATTCAAAAATATTTCATGTATATGTGAGGATATTTGACAATAAAATGATTAACAGCAAAACATTTAATCAAAGTTATAACAATACCCCATCCCACAAAAATATTAGCAAAAGTGTATTTACATGATTTTAGAAAATAGAAAAACTGGTGTTGATGTAAATAAGACTATCAAGAGAGATATCATGTGTATTTCAATGCCATGTGTTACATGCTTCTAATTACATGTTTAAGAATATATCCCTTCTATTTCTATGTAATAGACTTACTGACTCTACAGTCATTTCATAATTTATTTTTGCAAGAAACACCAGCAAATACTTCCCAATGGTTTCCAGAGATTTTTCCCCTTCAGTTCTATAATTATTTTCTATATAGTTAAACATCCCTTTCCTTTATAGAATGTACAGGGTTTCATTCTTTTATTCTATGTTCCTATTTCCTCCACACGACCCAGGTAACTTACATAAAGAAATCAATATTAGTGCTAAGTTTGAATTATTTTCTGTTATCAATGACAGGAGCTCAGCAGGAGGACTAGCAAAATTAAAATAACTCTAAGTGCATGAAGCATAAATTATGAAGGTTTACATAACAAATTTATTTTTCCCCTCTAAGAATATAGATTATTTCAAACACATTGACTAACTCATATCCACTGGGAACTACAAAACAGGGTTTTAATATCAATATGTCCTATTACGGTCTAAATTTAGAGTTTAAACTCTTACCTGAGTTTTGTTTAGTATACAGTTACTTTTTAGACAGGAAATGTACAATAAGATGTCGGGGTACATAATACCAACGGTGGGAAAATGGAAGAGGGAGGAAAGAAATCAAGTCCACTTTAAGCAGAAACTCCAAGTCCCTCTGTTTCCCAGACCTACAGTAGTTTTATTCTGCATCTTACAAGCAACTGTCCTTCCCTTTGCTCCGAGAACAACACATGCTCTGCCCCAGCAGGAAAATATAAAAATTAAATAGAAAACCACAAGGTTATTAAGCATCTTACCCTCTGGGCTTGCTGGGCTGCTTTAGCGGCTCAGTGTTACAGACACGTGTAAACAACAGAATTTCCTGCATCCCTTTCTCATCTGTATGGCTCTGGGGTCCTGGCCAACAGGATTATTTCCAGCCTTAAGGCCACTCCACACTAACTCGAAAAAGATTCCCATTGGTTGTGAAGTTTTATCAAAACCAATACCACAACACCCTCTGTGGATCACAGTGAGCTAACCAAAATGAAATCATTTCAGTGTTCCCTGACTGAGGATGGTTTTCCAACGCCTCGCATACAGCCCATTTGAAACTATGTACTGTGAGTGCAGAAGGGAGAAAACAGCCGCCCCTTCATCTGTAAGTTTATTTACTGTCTAAAACAATACTCATAACTTGTAAAGTAATAGAAAAAATAAAATTAACTGACCAAAGAAGGTGTCTGTCTGCTCAGATTACAGAAAGAAAAGGAAGTGTCACTGGTCTGATCTGATTTTTATTAGATTGTGCCCCTCCAAAAAAGAAAACAAATATGTCATGAAATATTTGAGGATACAAATCATGATGCAAAAACTGTCTGTCAAAAGCTGTGATTTCAGTCATGCTGGCAGGACTGTGAGCGGCAGTCTCCGGGACCCCCGACAAGACCTCTCTGGCCCCTTTCCCCGGGGAGTAAAGGCTGAGAGACTTCCCTGCCAGGAAGTGTTCTGATAGATAGAGTGATGGGAGGCAACAGAAAAAGAAGCTTCTCTGGGTGAAACTAACAGCACAGAATGTCCAAAGAAAAAGAGGGGGCAGAAGAAACACAATCACTATACTCCTTCTAAATAAGGAGCATGACAGCAGTATTGGAAAGTTAGGGAGTTGCTGTCTTTAAATTATTTTCTTCTTCTTCCCTTCTTAATTTGGAGGATTATTCTCAGCTGAATCAGATGTTTGCCATCTCTTTCTACTTAACACCATCCTTTCCTCCTTTCTTCCTGACGCAGCAGAGAGGGGGACCATTCTGTAGAAAGTGAACTAAGCTGCTGAGATTGCCTTCCCCCATCTTCTCAGAGAATAGGCTTAGCCACCATCCTCTCTCCCCTTTCGTTGAACTTGCCCTTTTGTCTGGATGTTCCCAGGATATTTGAAACACATAAAGTCTTGGGTAAATTTCACTTATGCCACTGAACTTCACTTTTATTTCAGTGATTTTCCTTGTTGGTACCATGCTCCTCTCCTTCATGGTCAAATGATTGAAAGAGGTCTCTGTAGCCAAGAGCCCCATTTAATCTGCCACCTACTCCCTTTGATGCACCAAAGTTTCTGTCTCTGAAAATGAATGCCTTTTACTTTTCAAGTCTATAAGCTCTTCTCTCAGTCCTCAGTCTAATTATTACCAACCCAAAGACCCTCTTCTCCTCTCTTAGCACTTTTCTGGTCTTCCTCTTTGTCACGCAAGCCTCTTCTCCCTCACCTTGGTGTGGTCTCTTTTCCCTCCAATCCCTCCATGACATTGGGTATGTTCTCGTGTAAATCTGTTATCTCTCTGGATAATGTCACCCATTCTCATGGTTTCAATTATCATCTATCTTTTCAGAGGACTGCCATTATCTACATTTGGATCCAGTCCTCTCCCGAGTCTCCAACACTTACTCACATCAGCACGCTAGAAAATACCACACACATGTCATCAACATATTTGAAGCTGAAATCATCATCTCTCCGTGGATTTGCTCTGTTGTTTATCTCAATAATGCCAACCAGTCTTATGGTTTACTAAAAAAATCCTGGAAGTCATCCTTGGCTCCTTTTCTAGTCTATATCCAATCCAGCATCACTTCCTTGTGATTTGATTTTAATAATATACCTATATACCTAGTCCTCTCCCTCTCAACTGCCACTTTCCTGGTTCAGGCCATGGTCATACTCCAGATCCCTGCAGTGTCCACCTAAATTATCTACTTGCCTCCAAACTGGTTCCCTTGCATCTTTAGCAAGAGTTACAGCAGTCTATTTCCAATACTCGTGCTACTTGAAATCTCTGAAGATTTTTAACCCTCTTAGCAAATTCTTCTTCACAATGAATTTGCCAGAAAGCAACTTTTCTAGATTATTTTTTTCTGTCTTGTTGACCATGCTATGTCCACATTCCTTCATTATTTTCCTCTCCTTTCAAGGTATAATATCTCCAAGGGACTCCCGCTGGTCCTATCCTCTGTCAGGGTGATCAGATCTGTTCTTGTGCCTTCTTGCTTGACCACATCAATATTACTGCCAAGTTTATGAGTTACTGATCAGTAAAATGTTGCTATGTATGGAGACCTGTCTCATCTGAAGCCTCTTCAAATGAAGGCTCTCTTTTCCCACACAACCCCACTATCTCAGGGTCAGAAAGTGGAGTAGGTCTCTTGCTGTTCCTATTGCTGAGTCTGGCTCTCAAATGCTTTGTTGATTGTGTGGGACCTACCAGTATCATGGGAACAGAGCTATCTAGTGTCTCCATCTTAGTTCAAAGAGTACATTGCCCCATAGCTTCTCTCTGTGTGTCTGTCTGTGTATGTCACAGTGTCACACACACCATACATACATACACACACGTATACATCTTCATCATCTTAACACTACATATTTCATAACAAGTAATGGGAGCATGAGGAAAAGAGGAGAAACTCAGCCTTGGAGTTTTCATAATTTGTTGGCAAGTTAACATCTTAAGGATCTTAGCACCCATGAGTGAGGGCTGATTTGTGTGTGTGTGTGTGTGTGTGTGTGTGTGTGTGTGTGTGTATTCCAGTTTCATTCTATAAATTAAGTCTTCCCTGTAAATTCTACCATTTGCTTACCTGGTATCATTTCTCACCACCTTCCCCACAAAAAAATTTATTTTGGGGGGAGGTGGATAACAAGATAGTCAGTTAAAAAAAGCTTATGCTACCAAGATTTCCATTCACTACCTGACACAGTTTAGCAGGTGATACATGAGAGGAAGCCTGATGAGCAGTTTTGGAAAGTGTTGTCTTCCTGATATGCCACTACATTTCACAGACAGGAACTGGAGATGAAGAAGAATTCCTTACCTAATCTTGAGGTCACAATTCAGATGGAAGCCATGCTGAGAAGGGCAGGAGGAGCCGGGACCATGACTGGCCTCAGGGGGGCTTTTGGTGATGTGAGGAAAAGAGAACTTGACCAGGTTAAACCACCGTCACTGGATTTCTCCTGTGACCTTGTTTATTAGATTGGGAATGACAGGCCAATCGAGAGCTGTAACAGTATCTAGCTGCAGAAACAATGGGGAATAAATGTTCATCAGAACTGATTTTACCCCAGATTCTTATCACCTAACTTGGGAGTCCAGACAAAACCATGAAATTGAAAACTCCCACAGCAACCTTTCCCAATGTTACAGCTACTTCTCACCACCCCTGTGAGGCTTTTCCTCGCCCCCACAAATAGTTCATGTACAGCAAAGGGCTGGATTTGTACGCCTATTTACAAGTCTGCTTTCTCAACCAACTGTGAATTTCTTAAGGAGATAATATTGTGTTTGAATCTGCTGCAAATAAACAAATAAATGCATAAGTGAATGAGCTATAAATGGATGTTCCATGAAAACATTAAAGGAAACAAAAATAATGAATATATCTCAGAATTGGACAAGTTGTAGAGAAAATAAATTAGAAATATGTACCTTTATAACAGTGATTAAATGTATGGCAATTTTTTTATTTCTCCTAATTTTACTTTTATAAATTGAAACAATAGAATCAGGAATATATATATATATATATATGTATATATATATATATATATATAATCAGTGACCAAGTAAGAATAATAGAAATACTGACAAAGTAAGACAAGTTGAAAAGATTTTCTGTGGACTTAATAACTATTTGAATCAGTTGTATTGTTAAATATCAACTGCAATCATTTTAATGGCTTTAAAAATATTTATAGAATTATTCTAAAGCAACACATGACTATCTCAGTAACTGAAAATTTCTTGCAAGGAAGCCAATTTTGGTTTTGATTCAAATGCACTAGGTCATTTTAAACCGCAGATTAGAAACGTGTGTGCACAAAGTCACACAGTGCACTGTGATTTCATAAATACATGCTTCACTAATCAAGAGAGACCAGCTGGGAAGCCACCATGTTTTATTGAACTAACTGATGCCTACTCACATACATCAGTCACATAAATCAGAGCCTCAAGATGTGAGTCTCATCGCCTCATTATAGGAAACATGTTCTTCCTTCTCACTTTTGTAAATAGGAATTATTTCATAGTCCAGAATTTCTTTACAAACACAAGGTATATTTTCTATAAAAATGTGTAAGTTGTAACACAATCCCAACTTTATTTATATTTTTTTCAATTGAGGGAAAAGTTAAGAAAAAACTGTGAGGCCCAGCTGGTGTGGCTCAGTGGTTGAGCGCTGACCCATGAACCAGGAGATCACAGTTTGATTCCCAGTCATGGAATATGTCCGGATTGCGGGCTCGATCCCCACTGTGGGGCATGCAGGAGGAAGCCAGTCAATGATTCTCTCTCATAATTGATGTTTCTACCTCTCTCTTTCTCTCCCTTCCTCTCTGAAATCAATCAAAATATATTTTTTAAAAACTGTGAGAAAAATAAATCTGACTTACAATATAACACACTTAAGAGAGAAGCAATCCTGATCTCCGACAGAGCTGGGTTTGAGTGTCAGCTGTGAGAGCTCAGAGTTACATCTATGAGCCTCCATTCTGTCATCTGTAAAATGGATGTATAACCTATAGAGAGGTTCTAAGGGTTAAGATACAATGGGTATAAAGCCCTTAAAACAGTCCCTAACACTAAATAAATCAAAGTCATCCTGAGTAGTAATTGCTCTAAAAAATAGATATGTTGACCTAACTACAATAGTTTTAAAATAAATTTTATATTCTAAATAAGAATATTAAGCAGATGTAGGCACGGCCCAGTTTGACGGCTAACTTATTTTGCTATTTCCCTGAGTGGCCACTCTGTAGTTGTGGTCTCATTCTGTACCCGATGCTTTGCCCTGACAAAAACCACTAGACATGTTTCTTATTCTTTAATAAGTATGTGATAAATTCAACTTTGCAAGATTTTGTGAAATTATTATTAATTTATCTTTGTAAGACTTTGAATGTTTCAGGAGCTTTCCTTGGGAATA